GCAGAAATAAATAACTGTAAAAACATAATAAATCAATAAGCATAGTCTTCCACATAATCAAGGAGACAGAGCCTGCCATGAGATTATGGAGACATAATTTTGATTTAATCAAGGAGGCAGCGCCTACCATATAATGATCATTCCCGAAAAGATATAGCCTATTATATGTCTTTCTTATAAATAACTAGTAAGCATAGCTTACTATAAATCAAGGAGGAGGTATAACCTACCACTCCGTAAATAACACATAAATTTAATTTTAGATCAAAAACACATAAATCAAAATCTCACCTTTCTGGTATGGAACGGACATAAATCGTTTTTACCTTTTTGGTATATGATCGGATAGAGAGACTATCGTGCTGATAACATGTTGTAAACTATATACTATAAGGTGAGAGATTCATGTATATATGTGTTTAACTCTCATATACATACGTGTAATATAACATATATAATAACGAGAGAGAGAAGAAGATAGTGTGTGTTTGTATAGGATAGACGAGAGAACGAGAGAGAAGAATAGAGTTGATCTTCTTGTTCTTATTATCATTGTTCCTCACGTACATATATATAGGGTGAAGAAGTCGGCAAATGTATTTTTTAAAGGAGAAGAAACCAATTAAAATAATTTAATGGATAAACATTAACCATTTTATAACAGAAGATTTTTAATGATCAGTTTGACAGTTTTTCCGCTAACAGCTTAAAATTGAAAGGCGCTCACTAAACACCAAACTTTTTTGATATCTTATTATGTGCTAAGCGTTTATTTAAGGCAAAAGTTTATATATGGATCGAAAACGCACCATATAAACCTAAAAAAATATAAATACATTTGTTATTTTTAATTTTACAATAATAGAAATTTAAAATGAAATATTTTCAAGATTAAATATAAAAATTAGAGAAAAAGCATATAATACAAATAATTTTTATTTTTAAAAATTGTTAAAGAGTCTAAAACAAAAATAAACTATATTATTATCAACATCGTCATGATCATCAGAGTGATAATTAGCGAACGCGAGTTGCCGTCGGTTAATCAACTGACCCTAAAATCTAAACCGTTCTAAACTTTTAACATAAGAGATTTATCGAAATAACTAGTGGTGTATCCGGTGCTATGAACCGAAAAAAACAGTTTATAGATATTTCACTATTTTTGTTATCCAAGTTTATTATTTCATTTTCTGGTCATTATTTCATTTTTTTTGTTTTATTGAGAATACATATTACTGTAGAAAAAATTTAACTAAAACAAAAGAAAGTTTACGATTTTCTTAACAAAGATGTTGAGTAAAACCAAAATCCGTTAAAAACATATATTTTTATTAACTCTACATTTCCCTCATCACATAACTCAGTAGTCTTCTTAACGGTTGTAGAAACTCTCGGTGTCTTCTTCAAGTCGTCAATTTAATTCTCTTTGTCTTTCATCTCGATATTCCAACACGTCTCTTTGAAGCCACAACACATCAAACAATAAAGGTAGAACATCTTCTCTTATACCCACTTAACGATCTGCAACTCCTTTATGATGCAGAAGCATGTCTCTAACAGAGAATGAAATAATATGGTGAAATACAAAAATATAAGTCTCTAACTTTATACAGGAAAACAATAGATATCCTCATGAACACATTAACAAAAGCATCATTAAGTTCATAGGTTAAACTGAACTTTATTAGGAGTGCAAATCGTTGAACTTACTACATTCACATGCACACTTGATACTCGATAGTCTTCTTTCCACTTTCTCTGTTAATGGTAGCTTCAACGCCAGTTTCCTCTAGTACTTGTTGAGATCCAACACCACTTGCGCCGCATCAAATCTAATCATCATCCCCGTGCCGCTTGAGGAAACTCATTACAACATGAGAAAAGCTCGAGAATACAAAACTCACCCAATTTGGATAGAAGCAAAATCCCCCCTTTTTACTCAAGCGTTCATGAGAATTCGATGGTGAAAACGAAATTCTAATGGTTTTGGAAATCCATAGTTTATGCTCTATTTTCATTTAACTTTTCGTTTGTTAGGGCTTTAGATTGTTGTGTGTTTTTGAGATTTTATAGTTTATAAAAGAAAAACGTTTCTCGAAAGATAAGGGAGAGATGGAGATCGTGGATTAAAAGATGCGTGGAAACTGATAATTCAATTTTTATTTTGTGACGTAACTGGCGAGAAGATAATCATTTTGTGAAAAGTATTTGATCGTAGTGTTGATTTTTTTTAAACTAATTCTTTAATTTTAAAAGGTGTGCCATGTGGCAGATTGACTTGTGATTTTGTATATTAAAGATTTCTTTGTTAAAACAAATTTTTTTTTTTTGCAAACAGAGCAAGTGTGCGATTCCGCCGGTTCTAAAACCTAACGCCGATGAGATCAAACACCGTCACATCTACTCCGACTAGATCTATCGGAATCGGAGCTACTCCGGTGAGATTCGAATTCTGGTAGTTGATTCCTTCGAAGTCGATTGGTTATATCTCTGTTGGGATTGGAATTTGGATTTTGATTCATAGTACTAATCGTATCTCATGTTAATTCATTATATGGTTGCGTCACATTCTCATAATTTTTTGGTATTTTCATGTATAACAAATTTTCCATTATTTTAAAAAATAGTTTGTAGTGGTGTGTGTTTGCATATACTTTTTTATCTTTTCATTTCTGCCATTAAAAAATTAAAAAATGTTTTACATTTACATTGTATACTTATTTATTAGGATAAATCATTCTAAGCTACACCAACTATTAACTAATATGTTCCAAACCATCCGAAGTATTGAAATGTTTTCGAAACTACACAGACTAATATATAATACATGGTGACATACACTAACTATATGTAAACATATTAAAAACTACAAATTGGAGTTTTTTTATAATTTTTATAGTATTTTGGGGTCAATATATAATGATTTTCTTTATAAATCATTTAAAGATCCAAAAAACAAAATTAAAGACACAAAAATATGAAAAATAGAAAACAAATCCATAAAAAGTATTTTTTGATTAAAAAACAAACTATAAATATTTTCAGTTTTGAAATTTAAATAAAATCCCAAAATTTCTAAGAATCAAAAAATCTGAAATTTACAAAATAAATTTTAATTTTACATTTCTAAAATTTCTAAAACTACAAAAAAATCTTAAAATTCAAAAACAACCAAAAAAATTACAAAAATTTACATTTACAAAAACAAATCCCAATAACTTTTTAATATATGAAAATAATCAATTTTGGAAACCAAATTAAATTTGTAAAAATTCCAAAACTTAGTGACCACTATGGAAATCTGCAAATTCTAAATCAAATTTTTGGAAACCTTATGGTTAGCCTAATGGTGTAAAAAGACAAGAAAACATATCCTAGTCCGATATTCAAAATTGTAAGTATAATTTTCTATAACATAAATTGTTTTTTTTGGTAAAT